TCTCTCGGCAAAAAGCAACAGGTATCTGCTCCTTGAACCCCTAGACACCTTCCGTTTCCAGCGTATCACCTTCGTCAAGTTCCAACCCCTTCTATACGTCATCTGCAACCTTGATCCACTCCGTGGGTTGTCTACCTCTCTTCTTGTTTGCCCTCTTCGCCTCCCATACAACACATGCGGTACTGCCATGTCAGCTTCCTTGCGTCTCTTCCTGATCGTAGGGATTGGATTCCCATTTCTGCCATGACGGCTGCATTACTTGCGCGCTTGGAGCATCCTAGGATGATTTTCGCTTCTTCCATCTGCGCCGCCTCGAGCTCTTTGACTGCCGTCTTATTTCCTTCCCAACTTCTCCTGCGTATACGCTAGCGGCGGTACGATGACGCTCTTCACAACCCTCAATTTCATGCGTGTATCAAGGTGCCGGATTGCGAGTATTGGGTGCAGCTCCCCTGTGCTCGTGCTTGGCCCTTTTCCGCTACCTTGGACATGTGTGTATTCCACGAACAGTCTTTTGCGGTCTCTTCTCCGATATGTGTATTGGTCCACTGCTTCAAGCTCCTCGACCCCCCACTTTCGTCTGTACTCTACTGGTTTCTCCCTATCCTCGTTGCATACCATGAGTGCACTCTTCACCGAAGTTTCCCCTTCGCCTTCACTCCCTTCCCAGCTGCCTCTGTGACTTTCTACCGATTGTTGATGAACACCTGGAACAATGTTGGGGACAAAGGGCAACCTTGTCCGACCCCCTGTTCAATGTTGCAGACTTTAGACAGCTCTCCCTCTAGCATGACCGCGCGTTTCGTACACTCTTGTCGTCTTCTTCAGCTCTCTCCACGTTTTCCCCTTGATCCCGTACTTGGACAATTGTTTCCACAGTCCAGTTGTCCATACTGTATCGTATGCCTTTTGCACGGCCAGGAAGGAGCGACGTCGGCTTCGCCGCCCTCATTCCATGCTTGTTTGTACCCTTGTTTCATACCTGCCCTTGTGTCATGCCTGTTTGACCCTTATTCCATGCCTGTTTGCACCCTTATCGCATGTTGATGCACGCGGCAGGGAACATTCCCGTGCAACTGTCGGATCTCGTGGGCCTCGTGAGGCTCGAGCTGGACGGGAATTGTCTTTCTGGTGAGGGGGGGGGGGGCACCTCGTAAAGGTTGAGGTTTTGGCCTCCCTGCCCTTTCCTAAAAAGGCCCCGGTTCCTTCCCTGATCATTGGTTTGAGGCACCCCGGCCGCGGCAACCGGGCCGCTTCTGTATTTAAGTGCATATGAACGTGTTGTCGGATAACACCCCCGCATGCTGCCATCATTAACAGTATTGATGTACACGTACAGCAGTACAAATGTGCCTGCCCTCCGGATGGGCTCGTCAGCACAGTGTCGTGTAGCGGTGACGAAAGATGAACAAGAGAGCTCGAGAGATTGACTGCCCGCTAGCTGTGACTTTGTCCGAGCTCGACCAGCCCACACGGCTGACGTGTTTCAGACTTAAGGCGCCATCGAACCACACCGAACAACAAATAATTTATACCAGTAGTATAAATCTGTGTGCAGTCTTATTGGCCTACCTTACATGGAGCAGGCTCGCCTCTCCCATGTTTGAATCGTGTACTTGTGGTGCAGCAGCAGCAGTCAGGCACACATGCGTCGGCCCGTCTTTTACCGCAAGTAAGAAACAACAAACATATTTATACATAGGCAACAGCAGTGTGAGGAAGCCAAGCCATCTATGTCTATGTCTATGTCTATGTGACGACAGTACCCGAAGCGTGAAGTGGTGGCTACGTAGCCGAATGGGTCCCCGTTCGATTCTTTCCGTGAAAACGTTTTTTTTTCGTTCTTTGTTCTTTTCCCGGCGTGGCGAACAGAACATTTGCAGTTGACGTCGTATTAACAGTTGCCAATTACATATCTCGATTTCACCGCTGCTGTATGTAGTCCAAGCGAATGCTGTCTGCAACCGCTTTTGATTTCGGCTCTGTTGGCTATCATCCTCGGCGCCCCTTGGACTTAGTTGGAGAGCAAGTCAGCCCTCGTTCCCCTCCCGCAAGCCAAGCAAGCAAATCAGATCAAATTGTCACATTTAACGTCCAAACACCAATCCGTTCACTGTGCATTTGGGTTTGATAAGCAGCTGTAGCAACGCCTACCGCTGACTAGCTACCCTGTGGTGGTGTACGCTTGGTACTCCGCTCTCAAGTTCGAATCGTGTACTTGTGGTGCAACAGCAGGGAGGCACGCATGTGTACACCGGCCCTTCCGCCACGCGATGGCAGATGCTTTCTATGCTTGCTGTATTGTCTGTCCTCGATTCTCTCTCCCCGCCCTCTCTCTCTCCATCTCGCCCTCGGAAGGGTTTTTGTCCGCTGAAACCGGTTTTATCGTTTGTCAGCCGGTCTCACCGTTGGTCCACCTATTTTTTTATCGTTGGTCGGCCGGTTTCACGCCGAAGATATTGAAGGAAAACACACACACGCTCCGTCTCTTTCTCTCTCTCTCTCTCTTCCCCTCTCGCCCTCTCTCTCTCCTTCTCCATTCTCGCTCCTGTGTTCGTTCTACTTTTCGACAATGAAAGACATCCCTACCACAGCAGTGCTGGGTTTTTGTGGGTCGCTGTTTGGAGTGTTAAAGTATCCCCCGCCCTCCCTGACACAAACCTGCTCGAACGGTGTAGACCGCGTCTCTGCAGCCCCTGCTTATTTCTCTCCCGATCTCTTGTGGTACTGTACAAACGCTCTCCTTCCGTTCCTCAGGTGACGTCCCTCCCGACCTTAGCGCTCTCTCCAACCTCAAGGTCCTCCACCTCAACAGCAACTCGCTCACAGGTGAACCATTTTGTTGTTTGCTTCGCCCGGTGCATATTGCAGCTTTGCGGACACCGATGTACTGCGTGTCTTGCTATATACAATTTGCTCGTATGGGTACCTGTTTCCGTTTGGCTTCGTTCCTCGTTGCAAGTTGTATATCGTGTTTCCTTTTTCTCTAATTTCTTCTGTATTCGTCTACCTTTGCGTTTACACTGGTATCCTAGTCTTCTCTAGCCATGACCCAACCATAAAAATACTTAAAAAAAATGTTCTACTGGAATACAATATTTTGCGGTTCCCACATATATATACGAAGTATTTTTTTTCGGGTCTGTGTTTCGGACTTAAATGGATTTCTGCTTGTCAATACTTTGTTGTTCCAGGTCCCATCCCGTGTGAGCTGGGCATGCTGAGCTGGTTGGAGAGATTGGACCTATCGAAGAACCAGCTTTCAGGTAACTAATTGAACCACCGCAAACGACAGCCAAGGGATGCTCAAAGTTCAGAACTTTCATTGTGTAAACATCATCGGCCTGGCGTTGTCTTCGATGGTGCGAAAGTTTGAACGCGGGGCACACGTTCTAGCGGTAGGTCGCATGGCCATTCAGGACGTTGTACGTGGGCCGAGCTCTGACATCGGTGGCATATTATCCAAACAAAACCAACGTTGATGCCCGGGTTACGGTCATTTTACGGCGACGCTTCTTTGCCCGCCCAAAGTGCCTATCGACAAAATACATGCCAGTTGCACAACGGAACGCGAGAAAAGCGTCAACAGAGAGGAGCTGCACCCCCAATATCGCCACGGTATTTTGAAGTCTTTGTGTCTCGTACTTTCGTACCCTTGTGTTGTTTCTCTTGTTTTGGTTGTTTTTCGCAGGGTGCATTCCTCCGGAGCTAGGACAGCTCTTCTGCCTGGAGCTGCTCATCCTCAACGACAACAAGCTCATCGGTGGGTACTCGTTTTTTTTTTTTTTTTTGATATGTACGTTCAAGTGTCCTTCCTCTCTTTCGACCGTATGTTACCGTTCCCAGGCCTCTTTTTTGTTTTTCAGTTGGTCCGACGTTCGGTGCGCGGTGAAGTGTGGGACACCGATTGTTACCTCTGGCGGACTCAAACGCATGTTGCGAAGACCAAAACAAACAAAATATTGTCTTCGTTTAGCTTGAGGTTTCCAAGACCCCAGTGCAGCCCTGCCGTATCCCACACACACACACCGTCAACCGTGTAGGGGCAGTACCAAAGCGTGGATTCCCAGGTGCATCCGTACCATATTCACATACCCGGATTAGCGTATGCAGGGCAGTGCCAGTACGCTGCCGCCCCCGCTGCCAAAATATTCGGGATCTCTTGTGTTAGCGGGTATCAATTTGAAGGACACGTAAACAGTGCCCCCTTACACCGCACCGCCACATACAGCGCGTAAATTAACAGCTGGCAAACACGGAGCGCATGCACCGATTTAAGAACGGTGTCCACAATAGTTCTGGCAACACTGGGACCTCTGTTTCTAATTTTGTTTTACCGATTGCTGTTCGTGTGAGCACTGATTTCAAGTGATAAAAAAGAAGAAAAAAGAAGCCCAACACATTGTCGACGCGCTTGAGTTGTAGCTATCGTGTTTCCCTGCACGACGACTATCGATGGCAGAAAAACAGAAAAAGGATTCCGAGGCTGTGTGGTTACTCCGACTGTCCGCACCCCATGGTATCTACCGGCTGGCGTCACGTCCCGAAGGCAGGCACTGAGAAAGTGTTGAAGGGATAGGGCTCAAGCGGGTCCAAGAGCGAGGCGTCCCCATGGACGGCGCCATCGAGCCCCCCCCCGCCCCCTTGCCCTTGGACTCGCTTGATCCCTCTCCTCTGCTACAATAGCGTCTTCCTTCTGAAGGTGCATGTGTCATGCACTGGGCGGTGGATATGATGGTTCATGGTATCATGGTATCATGGTATCATGGTATGATGCGCTGAGCGTGGAGCGGATAGTCGGGTTACAGCCCTGGCTCCGATATAGGAGGGCGGTGTGATCAAAGGCCCTCGACCCTCTTATATCGGAGCCCCCTCTTTTAAGGTGCCCTCTTATATCGTTGAGGTTTGACCCGCCTGGTGTGCCTTTTTAGTGAGAGAACTAAAAACACGCTTCTGCTTCATGGGCGTGTGGAGGACAAGTGTAGTTGAGGCGTTGGAACCATGCGTGCGCATGCAAAAGCGTGACAAGATACGATCCGAGCGGATCATCTTTCTGGTCCTAGAACAGCAATTAACAATTAAGCTCACTATCTATAGGTGGGTATGACGCTCCCGATGCCACCCGCGGAGATGGGGAGTGGGGAGTCTTGTGGCTACCCTATACCCTCTGTCTACCAAGTGTCCTCCCATCAAGACACTGGTAAAAATATCAGGAGGGGGGGGGGGGAGGTCCCAGCCACCCCGCGGTGGAAAAGCCGGAGCATCTCGCGTGCTCTAACCGCGACAGCAGCAGCAGCAGCAGGGAGGAGGAGGTTGCGACGCGAATTTCGGTCGCCGCTGAGGACCACCCGGGGGGGGGGGGGGTGGGGACGGAGGAGGAGGAAAGAGGATGCGCAAAAGTCAAGCTCTCCAATCCCGTATTGAGTAGCAGCTGCTGCTGTAGGTACCACGCACATGTTGTGTCTCCTAAGTTGTGAGAACGCAGTCTAGGCGTGGCCACCCTGTGACACTCTTATCACTCACCAGCACCAGCACAAAACAAATGTTCACTCAGCCCGCGTTTGTCCACGAATGCTTCTGTCCTGCATATACGCTTGATACCTCTCCTCGCGTCGTTGATGTCACCGTCGTCTTGGCCGTGTCTGGTGTCATCTTGTCTACATGAATGCGTGCTATCTGCGTTTATCTGCGTGGATGGATGGATGGATGGGAAACCGCAGGTGGGATCCCGTGCGAGCTTGGGCGCCTTCACCACATCAACCTTCTCCTTCTCGACGGCAACCATCTGTCTGGTGAGCTCCTTCTCGAGATAGCGTTGTGCTGTGTGTGTGGTTTACCTCCCCGTGGTGCATGCGTGCACTGGATGAAAAGTGAAAGGGCCGTTCTTCTGCTCATATGTTTCTTTCCCCGATACACGACCCATAGACTACTACCCTCTTCGTGTCGACGTGGTTTGGGGGCGGGGGGAGGCTCCGTAGTTTTTTTCCGATCTATGTGCATACGGCCGATGAAATCGCATGGCACTCATGGAACTAGTAAAACGTTGTACACATGTAAATACACCCTTATGCGTTCCGAGCGCCCGCTAAGTCCCCGTGAAATTGGAAAGCGCGTACATAACGGCGTTTACCGGCCCCCACTGTCGTAGCATGCTTATGAATAGCACGTGTTTCGCGATCTCCTCTCTCTCTCTGTCGTGCAGAACACGAGACTGCCTTGCCTGCCGGGCGTGTTCTAGTTTGGCCTTACAATACTTCTCGCTCACTCTTCCCTACAGCATGATAGCATAGCTCCATTCACCGAAACCTCCGGTGGTGTCTACCGTAGTCGCGAAGATTGTCCTGCTGGACACATCGTGACAGAAATATTTCTTGCTCTACACGTGAAAGAGTTGCCCCGTGTTCAAGTGTGATACACCTCTACGAGTGTGCGTCTATTAATAGTTGATGTCCACATTTTTTGTTCTTGCTTGTGCCTTATTTCCAATTTTTTGCGTGCGTGTGTCTAGAAGGTTCTTCCTTGCGGGTCTGTCTTTTCCAATATCTCATGCGCCTGTGCTATTGTAAGGGCTAAGGGTGTTGTTGTCTTCTGAGGTTTATCTCGTGTATGTATGTGTCTTGCTTGTTGCTTGCTGCGTCGCTCTCGCAGAGTCGCCTCCGATAGTGGGGGGCAAGGGGCTGCGGCAGTGGCAGGTCTCTCAGCGCAAGGCCTTCCTCAACAGCTGGAGCATGGTGGACCGCCTGTCGCACCTCGAGACGGAGAACGCGCAGCTCCGAAAGGAAAACGATCTTTTGAGAAAGGTGTGACGACTAAGGTTTCGCGCGAGAGTGTTAGTTAGTCTACACATTTTTGTCATGTGTGGGTCACGCAAATGACGTTTTTCGGTGTGGACCCGTTGTCCGAAGGCGATGCCAAGCCTTCGCGTGCGAGAACCGACGCGAAGCAATGCGCGATGCAACACACGCTTCCCTTTTCGTGATGGGAATTGCCCGCGAAGGGGCCCGAAGGGGGCCCCTCCCCGGTTTGTGTTGTCCATATGCACACTGCGTCACACACACACACCCCTACTCCCCTGTGGCATGAACGAGGGGCGAGAGCAGGTCGCACAGGGCACGGTCTTTGTCTTCCCCAAAGCTTGGACGGCGTACCGCCCTGTTTACCGCTGACCGCGGACGCACTAACACCCCGATCGCCTCCGCCCCCCGTGCCGTGAGCCCTCGGAAGAACTGATAAACCTTGTGACTATCCGACGCTCTCCCTCATGCCACTGAACGGTGCTCCTTTACCAGCTACAAGGACGCTGACCACCCGCTTGCCAAAGACGCCCCGCACCCCGCCGCCCTCCTCTCGCAACACCGAGCATCGCAGTGCAGTACATGGCCGCCTCATCATCCTACTGGTCCCATCGTATGCCCCCCCCCCCCCCCCAAAAAACCGAAAATGCAATTCTAGGAGGCCAACTG